TTGCAATCAATCTTTACCTTCAACCTTTAAAAAAATTTTGTTTTAGTTTTCTTTGTTTTAACAATAGATGGCACCAATAGCTTAACTTCTGTCTAACTTTTTTTAATCTCTATCCTTATCTTTCTTCGCTCTTTATTTTGTTCATTTGCACTTAACAGCTGAAGGTAGTTCAAAAACTATCGAAACTAGTACTGCAAAAAAAAATTTTTTTTTTTTTTTAATATATGCCGATTCTTAATGTTGTACTTTGTTTTTGATTGTTATTGAGCGTGATATTTAGACTAAATTATAGGAGCTTCAAACAGGAGTATTTTTTGCTTCCGTTCTTCCAGATGCTGTGGTTGCTATTTTGTGATTGATTTTGATAAGGTCTTTCCAATTTTTAAAGTTTGCTTTGTGGTTTATATTCTTTTAAATTTTCTTATTTGATTTTTTTATTAGTGTTTTCCAGTTTTTTTTAATTTGATTTATATTTTACACCTTCTAATTTTTCTTATTTGATTTTGTGCTTTTCCTTATCTGATTTGTTGTGTCTAGTTTCAAATATTTTGTTTTGTATACATTTTGCAGTGTTAAATTGTTCCAAATTTTTGTGCTTTACTTTTGGTTAGTTAAGTTAGTTTAATTGCTATTTTTTTCCTTCATTATTTATCATACCTTCGTCAATTAACCAGTTCACAAAATTACGCCTAAAACAATAGAAATTCCTGAATCACCTCGATTTTTTACTTAAGTGTAAACATAAAAAATTGATCCCCAATTTCATTCAGATTAAATGTAATCAAAAATCTTCCAATTGTGTTTCAAAAATCCTATCAAACTGCAAACTAGTCTTGCTTTGGTCCATTATAAGAATTACACGTCAACAATTATCCAAAACTGAACTTGAGCTATATAAGTTTCATTTGGAACTTGCCAAATCATATCCAAAATTCGCTGCTATCGATCTTAAGTTCTGCTTTAGAAATGAGAATGTAGTCGTCGTAAGAACACACTTGTATTTAAATTCAGATATCTTCTTTTCCAGTAAAAAAAAAGACGTTTTAATTAATTACATAGCTAATTTTGCTTAGAGCTGTTTTGTAAAATGTGCTTTATAGCATTATGCCTTGTTTATTTTTCAGATTTAAAATATTGTATAAGTTGCCAAAATGAAACTTTATAACAGCGAAAAATAAAAATGGTTTATTTTAATGTTATTTTTTAAATATAATTTCAATATATGACCATTATTTTAATGAAATTTATCAATGTTTAAAAAAAAAATCGTCAAAAAATTCTCAGATTTCGGAATTAAAAATTTTCTATAGAAACTGATGTTAAAATTGCCAAAATGTTGACAAGTCGCCAAATTTAGAACCATTTAATAAAAGAATTCACATCCCCAAAAGCAAAAATTGTTTAAGAGCTGTTTATTACGAAAAATGAATTTCGAAATGTTGCTGTTTCACTTCTCGCTTAGAAACCCAAGTATCCCATGAAACTCGAGTAAATATTAGAAAAAGAAACAAATTACAACCCGTGAACCCATTCAAAAGATAACCATATACGTCAGTGAATGGCCAAAAGTAATCCTCCAAAATGCTAATTCACACTCAAAATGGCAGTCGTAAAAACAGACAGAAATTTCAGATGATTAAAATTAAGGACCTTCTACTGATTTTGGTCAAAATTAAGGACTTTTAAGGGCCAAAAATCGATTCCAAAAAATTGAAGGACTCTTAAGGACCATACGGATTTTGTTTAATAATGAATTCATTTGATCCTGCTATTCAGTTCACTTCTGAACTTGAGACATCCAATTCTCTTCCGTTCCTCAACATTTTGGTCACACGTAACAGATCTGCCTTCAGTACTACTATTTACCATAAACCTTCATCAATTTGCCTTCCACCACACTTCAAATCATGTCATCCAATGAAACAGAAGTTAGCTTAATTTTATTTCTTTATTTTCCATGCACTTCATGTTTTCTCCTCCAAATCAGCACTTCATCAAGAACTAAATTATTTAAAAGCAGTTGCTATTCACAGGAATTTTCAACCAACATTATTAACCATGCAGTTAAAAAATTTTCACCGTAACACATCAAACGGTACAATCCTGTTTTAGGTGATTATAAAAATTCTGCTGTCATTCCTTTCTTTCTGTTAATTAGCTATAAAATTGCACATATTTTGCAGAAATTTAACTTACGGCTTGTTTTCTCTACTATCAATAAAATTCCTAGTTCCACGTGTAAGGACTCCATTCCGGATATGAATTCCTGGGGTATTTACAAGATTTCTTACCAATGTGGTTTAATTTACATTGGTCAAACAAAAGGAGCCTTAAATTTTCATGTTAAAGAATATGAGGCATATGTTAGGAAAAAGAAAACACAGAAATCTGCTGTTGCTCAGCATAGTTGGAATGAAAATCACACTTTGCATTTTCTGCAGCCAAAATTATTCAGAAAACGTCCTCCACTGGTGAATTAGATTTTTAGAAGCTTTTCACATCCAAAAAAAAACATTTCTGTTCTAGTTAAGGATTCCAACTGCAATCCATCTTTATCTTCAGCCTTTAAAGAAATTTTATTTTAGTTTTTCTTGTTTCATCAATACATGGCGCCGGTAGATTAACTTCTGTCCAATTTTTCTTATCTCCCTCTTATCTTTCTTCACCCTTTATTTGGTTCATTTGCACTTAGCAGATGAAGAAGGTAGTTAAAAAACTATCGAAAGTAGTACTGCAAAATTTTTTAAAAAATTTAAGCTGGACTTTGTTTTTGATTGTTATTCAGCATGATATTTAAACTATATTGTAAGTATTTTATAGCCTATTACATAAAAATCTGAACCACCAGAAGAACTTAAATGACCTTGATGATAGTTATTTAGATTTACTTTATTAGATTTGTTCTCATGGGGTTAAATTGAGAATGCTTTGATACCAACACATTGTTAATTGCATGCTTGTTTTGCTAATTTTGGATTAAAGAAACGTAGTGGTTTTCCAAGGGAAGAGGGGTTCAATTAAGTCTGTGTGTGTGTGTATTTAATTATGGCAAAGCTCACTAGGGCTATCTGCCTAAGGGGGAGGGATGCCTTCGTGGAGGACTTTCTAAGGGAAACTGGCTCGTATACACGTTACACATGGGGAAAACCACGAAAACACCCATGCAGCCAGCCTGTTGCGGGATTCGAACCTCGGACCGAACTACCAGTGTTCAGCGACGTTACCGCTCGGCCGCTGGTGGGCCTCAATTAAGTCTGACCTGCCTCCTCTTGTTAACACTGAATCATATTTTAATTGCATTCTTATAGCTATATTTCTTTTGCATTTCTCTTCTCTGTATTTCTACTGGTTTGATGACTATTAGCTGATTTTTTTTCCCATTTATGGGATTTTTGAATTTCATTTCTTCTGTGTCTTTGTGGATTTGATTCTAAACTTCTTATTTTCTGTCCATATATATACAGGGGTTGGACAAAAATATGGAAACACCTTTAAAAAAACATGTTTCTTTGCTTAATATGTTATAGGAAACCCGTTGGCATCCAAAACAGCTTGCAGTCTTCTCGGAATGGATAAATACAGTTCCTGTATGTTTGCCAAGGGAATATTATACCATTCTTCCTGGAAAACGGTGGCAAGTTCAGATAACGATGTTGGCGGTGGATAACGAGAACGCACTTTCCGTTCCAATGTAGATCACAAAGGTTCGATAATATTCAGGTCTGCTGACTGTGGTGGCCAGGGGAGATGGGACAACTCATCCTCGTGCTCAGAAAACCAGTCCTGGACAATGTGAGCTGTGTGAACAAGGGTTTTGTCGTCTTGGAAGACACCATCACCATCGGGGAACAAAGTTTGTACCATGGGATGAACTTGATCGGCCAAAATGTTCACATGAGTCTTGGCATTTATGTGCCCTGACACAGTTATCATGGGCTAACAGAGAACCACGATATGGCTGCCCAAACCATAACAGAACCCCCGCCATGTTTCACTCTTGGCAACAAGCAGTCTGTATTATAGGCTTAAGATGGCATTCTCCAGACGTAAACTCGGCCAGAAGTGGGAAACAATGTGAAAGAAGACAGACCATATTACTCGCTTCCACTGCTCTATAGTCCAGGCTTTATGACTTAAACACCACCTTTTCCTGTTACGGGCATTAGCATCACTGATGAGTGGCTTCTCAATTGCAGCACGGCCAGCAATTCCCTGTTTATGAAGCTCCCTTCTAATTGTTTTGGTACTCACAGGGTTCGGTAACACAACATTCATTTCAGCAGTAACTTTTGCAGCTGTGGTCTTCTTATTTTTCGTCACAATTGCCCTTAATGATCGTCTGTCACGATCACTCAGGACACACTTTCGTCCGCGCTGTGATTTAACAGATGATGTTTTTCCGCTTTCCAAATATGCGGAATAAAATCTTCGATACAGTACTTCTTGAAACACTAAACACCTTTCAAGACTACCTTGCTTACGGAAGCACCTACCATGCGTGCTCCAACAATTTGCCCATGTTTCGAAGTCTGTTAACTCTGACATAATGCAATGACAGCCTCACATAACAGTACTCCGACAACAACTGAACTGTTTAGCACATTTACGAAGTTGTATAGGTGGCATCAGTAGTCAAAAACGCCAGCGCCACCTACATATTTCATTAAAATCAATCTTTCTTTTCAAACATGCATTTCACAAGGTGTTTCCATATTTTTGTCCATCCACTGTATATACGTAATTTGTTTTAGCTAATGAAATTCCCCCCCCAAAAAAATTTTGTTTACTATTTTTGAAAAAGTTAGCGAGTCTTTTGGCATTTAATATATGTGTGCTACTTTGAATATACTTAGAATAAGCATGTAACATTAATTACATCAATCAATACTTTGATTACCAGCATTCTTGATTTTGAACGATTTTAAAAATACATAATTTAAGCAATACAAATTTTTTTTCCAGTTTTGAAACAAAACAAAATTGATATTTGCAGAAAATACCTGTATGGTCTCCTCAAAAATTGATAACTGAAGAAAGGAAATCTAGGAAATCTTCGAATCCGTCGTCTAGGTGGTCTGTTAGTTGTACTAATACCTGGGTGATTAGTACGTTTAGGAAGTACCTATAATCAAACCAGACAGTTAATGCTACAATGGCAGGGAGAAAATAAAGCAAATGATAATCTACTTGCTTTGCTTTCTTATACATTTACTTCTGTATGTAATTTTAATTTGTGTTTTTAAAATAAGGTAGAAAATTTTATATAAATGCAATAATTGACAAAGGGTTCTATAACAATAGAATCTAATTTATACATTTTTCCCAGAATTCAGTTTTATAAACATATAATCTGCTCTACAAATTTAAGAACAAAATCTAGAACTTCACATTCAAAATTTCCAGAAATAGTCAAGAATGAGTAAGGTTATTTTTCCTTTCCTATAATAATTCATTTAAGACTGAGATCAAATTCAAGAAGCAGATACAAAAGAAATGTTGCTTTGATGGTTAATGGTTCTATCTTGGCTAAAATAGAATTTTTAATTAAACTTCTGGCTGGGTCCTTAGTATACATCTGTAAATTCTGCATGTAAAAGTATGGATCTTTTTAACTGATTATAGTGCAATGAATATTTTACATACTAGAATTTTTAGTCTGCACATGAACTACATTTTGTTTTACTTATCTCTCCCCATCAATGCTGAAATGTTTTCTTAAAACTCTTTACTTTGCATTTAATAATACTCATAAAATTCTGCAAAACTTGTTGGGAAATTACAAAAAATACATTAAAACTTCTCAAATTACCTTGGGAATATTATTAAAGCTGTAGCAAATTTCAACCTTTAAATCAGTATTTTCTTCATTAAAAGCAGAATCTTAAAAATTTTCATAATTTATATTTAATTCTGACAAAGCATTTAAAGGTCGCTTGGAAGAGGACTGATGCCCCTGTAGAAGACTTTATGAGAAAAATTAATTCAGATGAGGAAATTATAAAAATGCTATGCCGACAGCCTACTTGCTAGAAGTAAAAAAAGGTAAAAAATATTCACATCATTAAAAGCAAAAGGCATCTTGCAAAAGTCTTTCTTTATATTTTTAAATAAGAAAACATTACTTGGAGCAAAATCTATATAATAGAAGTGTGCAATGATACATAGTCATGATGGTACATAGTCCTGAGAAATTTCTCTTTCATTTACTCTTAATTTCTTTGCACAGTTTTATTATTTATTAACTCTGCACTGTATTTCTCTGATTATTTTTCCAATTTCGAAGTAATCAATTATCAACAATTCTTTGGAATTTCAGAAAACATTGTGAATAATTTCATAAATCATATTGATATAAAAACTTCCTGCTCACAGTGAAAAAAGGCATATTTTCAAGTCATGCTTTGTCCTTTACTGTCAGATTGAAATAGCATACCTATATTTCATCCGTGGTCATATATATATGCAAAATCTCCTCTTGAAACATCATTAGAAGTGACTCTGCAATCCTCATAAATCCATTTTCTGTGCTTCAATTAACATTCTGGATACCCCCATCAGGCTCAGAGGTTCCTGAACATTTCAAAACTGACACTGTGCTATAAAAATAAAAAAATCTGCAGCTTCAACTGCATAATAACTGGAAGACACAAAAGTATTTTTGCTGCACATACAGCATCACATTTTCTCAACTCGGTCTTCCTGTTTCTGGATAACATGTTTTATATATATATATATATATATATATTAATCATTATATATGGTCGCAGACGTACAAAAGAAATTTCATATTTACTAAGATCGCCTATTTCTATTAGAACTGCTCAAATTTATCAAGATATGGGCTCCTAAAATTTCTGAAATCATTTCTGTTAGTATGTTATTCTATGCCTCCAAAATAACAGTCTGAAATTGTAACATACTGGAGAGTAATTCCATACAATCTGCCCTAATTGAAAATATTCAATAAAAGCCTGAAGTAATGATCATTTAAATATGCTAATCTGGTTGACAAGCTCTTGAAAACAATCCTTGCACTATGCATTATTCTAACAAAAGAATCATTATTTTGCAAAACAGATAACATGGACAGCTACAACTTATTAAGTATAAACTTATTATAATATTACAGGTATTCGAACTACTACTTCAATTTCAATGTTTTTATTTTCTCTCAAGTTGTATGTACTCTTACTTGTAAGGTGAGCATCTTATAAATAAAATAAATATCATTTAGAATACCAGCCCATCTTTCCTATATATGTTATAAATTCTGAACTCAAAATCAACATTTTCTGTTTATATGTAAAAGTTTCTAATACATTTTTAGAATTTATTGCTACCTTTTGTTTTCAAAAGTTAGCAACTGAAAATTGTACTGTTGAGATTTCCGAATTGTATGTAAACTTTTCTGAATTTTTTAAAAATTTAAGCACTTAAAATAGAAAAGTTACTACTGAAAATTCTAAAGATAAATTGAAAAAATACAATAAAGGTAATAATGTAGAAAAACTAAATTCCTAAATCCCTTAGACTTGAAAATGGAACTTACCTATATTATAAAGGCATAGATAAAATAAAAGGTTGAAATGCTTGCTAATGGAAGGTAGAAACTCATTTTGCAATGTATGGCATGTTCCTGATAATGATCAAAACCTTTTCTCTAAAGGTTTAGACAGGGTTCCTATAAATTTCTGCACACAGAAATCAAGTGCTTTTTAGGACCATTAATGAAAAAATTAAGGACCTACGAGCAAATGGGAACTGAATAAATTCAATTAAAAGTATTACTATGCCTGAACTTCACTTTTGTAATACCATCATAAAAATAAAATAGATCCGTAAATAGGATGCATTATTATTAAACATAAATTACCATATACTTATTAATAAGTTTAAGAATAAAATAAACATTATGAAATTTATCAAGCATCATTAAATATTTTACACTTAATAATAGTTGGACATATTTGAAAGAAGATTAGTGACATTTTATTAATGTTTTACTAACAGTTTTATGTTTACTTTTTCTTTTATGTCTCATTTTGTCACATATTTGCTCAGTCTAGAGATTTAGTGAATAGCAGGTTGATTATGTCAAAAGGCATAGGTTAAAATGAGAAGTAAGATCATAATCAACATGATTCATAAAAAAAAAAAAAAAAAAAAAAAAAAAAAAAAAAAAACCTGGTTGTTGTCATTGCTGCTGCTTGCCTACAGATAGACCTGCTGATTAGACACAAGTAGCATACGACATTGCAAATTGGTCCGAGAGGTTGCAAAGTGGTCCTGTAACTTTTACGATATCTTTACAACGTTGTGAAGATGCAAAATATTTGCCACTGCATCTTGGCAATTTGTCGACGTCGTTGAAACATCATGATATGACAGCTTTTAGACGTGGTCGTTTTAGCATCTTTTTCATAGTTCACCGATGTTACTTTTAGAATGAAAAGAGACAAAATCTGCCCTTTCAAGAATCTGAAGTCCGAATAAGATTTATTTTGCGAAGTTTCATTACTTTATTTCATCTAAATATATTAATCTAAGGTAGATTCATCTAATGAAATATAAATTTAATATATATACTTGAATTATTAAATTTAATTAGTACTAAAAATATGTGCTAAATTATTATTTAAAATTTTGAAAATACTTAAAATGTTTTTTTTAAAATATTATAGTAAATATTTAAAATGAAACTAATCTATATAGTAAGTCACATTTTATGTTCTATAAGTAGTTATGCATTTTATATATTTAAAAAATTATATTTCCGAAATCAACATAAATCACATGTTAGTAATTATTTCACTGTTAAAATATGACTTTATTTATTATTTTTGAAGTAAGGACGAATTTATTTGAATTAATATGCTGACATAATATGAAACATTTTACCGCATACAGAGCAAAAAGTACAATTTTCGCGAAGATGTATACACAGATAAAAATATGACGATTTTAAGAATTCCGAGAAAACGTCCAATATTAAAAGACTATGCATGTCCATGCATTTTTAACGTCTGTCCAATATATATGACGAAAAACTCATCGACGGTCGGGATAAGCAGAACGGAAAAATTAATGGAAAAGGAGAAAGAAATGTTAACAATTTTAATGGAAAATGACAAAATTAATAATGGCTTTGAAAAATTACTAATAAATGTTGACATCAAAATTAGAGAAACTGTGAACAAAAAAATGAAATTTATTACCTATAAAAATTCTGATGAACTGTTTATGTTTTTCCCATGCATTTAAATATGCTTGGTTTAATCCTAGTATCACGGTACTCTCGGGATTTTACAAATGTTTTAGTGAGCCCGATAAATATTTTTGTGCTACTTTGGTAGACCGGTTGCACGGATTTTGGCGAGTAATAGGACTTATGGTAAACCCATTGCTGGACAATTTATTTATGGTAACCGATACTTTGTTTCATTTTATTTTTTAAACAATGCATTTTATTATGCATAAATTCCGTGTTTTAAATATTATTTATGGCTTCGAAATATTGAAAATCAATTTAATTTTGCATTTTTATCTGAAATAAAAATTTTATTGTTTATGATATTTTATGAAATTTTATGTTGTGGATGATGTAATCAATGATGTCACCTTGCTTTAAAAGTAATTGGTTTTAATATCTAGAAATTTAATCTAATGTTTTAAACATTATTTATGGCTGTTAAATATTAAAATACAATTTTATTTTGCATTTTTACATATGATTTTTTATGTATTTATTATCTATGATTATTTAAATAATTTTAATTCTAGGCGTGATGTAATCAGCTCCCAGATTGGTTACAGAATATTTGTGCATTATCGAGCTGTAATCAGCTCCTTGATTGGTTACTGAATATTTGTGCATTACCACACAATTTTAAAATTTTATTATTCATCTCTTCGAAGTCCTTAGATGTCATAGGAAATGGATATGTGCCTTTCAAAGATTAATGTTGTTATTGGTAAGTACCAAGAATACTGGTATCGGAATAAAAACATTATCCTTCGAGACCTTATTTTGGCCAGCCTGGCTTTCCTAATCAAAGATTTATTTATAAATTGTTACAAGGCACAGAAAATTTATTTAAAATTTTTGGAGGAAACCTCGCTAAT